TTGCCGTAAGCACCGTCCGCACGGATTCAGTTGCCGTTCATGATCACAGCATTCTCTTCAGACATCCTGGCCTCGTACGACGCAGACCGTGGTCGCTCCGTCCGACCACTCAAACGAAGATCACGCTCCGCAAAGCCAACGAAGACCAACACGGACCACCGGACTGCAAGATCCCCGGCGCGCCGAGGACATCGCTCTGTAGGTCTCGTCTGCACATGCGCTGCACACCGCACTCACGTTCGCCTGCGCAGACATGCACGCTGACGTTTCGCAAGGTAAGTCATGGACCGGCGGGCACAGCGTGAGCTCACGTGGCGAGTCGCGTATGTTTTCAGGCCATATCGGAAGATGGGATGGAGGAAATATATTTCGTGGACAAAGGGAGTCGGGAATGAGATTAAATAGCGTGCAGTGACGTACCTTGGACCGGTGAGGCCATGAGTGAACCGTGGCAGCGACGGACGACCGATGGTACACGGGAGCGAGCCCGCAAAGTGAGAGGAGTGCGTGCGTCGGCAGCTGAGCCGCCTGCCTAGCCAACGATTCTGGTGGCGCAACCGTCGCACCTGGGTAAGGACGTCTATGCGAAGGCCATCGTTGAATACGCACCTTGCGCCATCGCCGCCTCTCGCCCTGCCTGCTGAACCCTTTCCTACTACACTTGCTGATGCGGTGCGCCTCTGGATCCTTCTCATCCCACGAGCCGCCGACCGTGCCGCTTGCAGTGAGGAAGGGCACGGGAGTACGTCGTCGTCGCGCCACGGCCGGCTTAGCTTTCCCATGAAATGCCAGTCCGAGTGCCCGAGGGAGAGCGATAAACGTCGACTGTGAGAGCTCGCGCAGAGATGCGTGCGTCAGTGCAGAGCAAGTTGGCGACTCGGCGTGAACACCAGATGTGGCTGTGAGCGTGAGGATCGAGTGATGGAGCGAGTGTGCGCGAGAGTGTCGTCGATGGGGGCGGATCGCGGTCGGTCGATTGGATGGAAGCCGGTGATGACGCGGCGCGCATGGTGGCGTCGGCTTCATCCTCTGCACTCGCTAATTGAGAAAGTCTTACCTTCCTCTCATAAAAGCCACCTCGACGCAATGGCCGACTCTCAGACACGTTCCAATCTTGTGGCCATCCAACCCAGGCAGGCCCCCATAGCACCTCAGCCTGCACATCCACATCCAGGTATCGTGTAGCGTCACTCTCCGTCTTCATCGTCCATGACTGATGTTGAGGAAGCATA